CTTAGCTGGGTAGTTTAGGCTCGAGTCTCTCATGAAGTTGCTGTCAAGGTGTAGGTCAGGGCAGCAGTCAACTGAAGGCTTGACTGGGGCTGGAACATTCACTTTAAACATGGCACACTCAAGTGGCTAGCAAGCTGGCACCCGCTGTTGGCAGAAGGCCTTAGTTCCTTTTCAGGTGGACATTTCATAGGCTGCTTGAGCATCCTCACTGTATGGTGGCTGGCTTCCTTCAGCACAGGTAATTCAAGAGAGAGCAAGAGGAAGGCTGCAGTGTCTCTTATGACTTAGCCTTGCAGCTCTGACATCATCACTTCTACAGGATTCTATTGGTCATACAGGCCAGCCGTGATACAGTGTAAGAGCAGATTATGCAAAGATGTAAATACTAGAAGCAAGGTTCATTTGGGGTCATATTTGAGGCTGGCAACCACAGTGAATGTCTGCTTTGTTTTTTGTCTATTCACTGACCCTTTCTTTTCGTGGGGAATACCTTCTTCATCTGAGGGGGAGGTGCGTAACCTAGGCCTGGCAAATTGGAATACTCCACACCCATGGGTAAAGTGGTCAAAGGGATATGTGATCAACTAGGGCCAATTAGAATCTTCTTTGATTTTTGATATATGAAGTCTGAGGGAAAGAGGTTCTCTATTCCTTGCTATTTTGAGCTCTGAGGATGATCTAAGTGCATCTTCTTACAGCCATTTTTCAGGTCATATTGGAGGAAGCTATCTTTAGTAAGAGGAAATGAGGCCGGCATACAAAGAGAGGCAACGAAGAACAGAAATGAAAAAAGAAAAGGGGATCTTGATGAAATAATTTGAGCGCACATGATGCAGCCATGCCTGAAACCTACATCAGACTTTTCAGTGACATGAGTCAATAACTTTCCTTTTTCGTTTGAGTTGCATTCCTATCACCTGCAACCAAAACAGCTCCAGCAAATCAACAGTCTTATTCATCTTGAATTTCCAACACTGGGTCCAATTCCTAGTCCTAGTACTCAATTCAGGTTTGATGAATACATTAATTAATCATTATGTTTTTACATAAAAGCATGCGATATATGCACACATTGGAGTTTTTGTTTTGTTTTTTAAAGAATTGGCGATTTGCCAAGTAGTAACAGTTACAAGAACAATCCTTCAGCCAAGGCCGGTTTGGCTCAGTGGATGGAGCGTCGGCCTGCGGACTGAAAGGTCCCGGGTTCGATTCCGGTCGGGGGCATGTACCTGGGTTGCGGGCACATCCCCCGTGGGAGATGTGCAGGAGGCAGCTGGTCGATGTTTCTCTCCCATCGATGTTTCTGTCTACCTATCTCTCTCCCTTCCTCTCTGTAAAAAAAAATCAATAAAATATATTTGAAAAAAAAAGAACAATCCTTCAACCTTGTAAAGTCTGGTGATCCCACAGCCCGTAGAGTCATTGTATTAGTCTGCTGCTAATGCAGCTGCTCCAGGTCAGTTTCCAGCAGTCCTGTGTGATGTGGTTGAGTGAATGGGTCGCCAGAAACCTGAGTACACACAGAGCTATGTGGAGACAGGAGGACTGCTGGAGACGTGCGCCGCGTTGCCTGGGTGACAGGGAGACGGAAAGGGCCCTGAGTGGACCTCTGAGCACTGGCTTATACAATATGTGGGTGACATTATGTTGCAGGGATGAAAGTGAGGAAATGGGTAAAGGACATCCATAGAATGTCAGCTGTGGGTTGGTGGATTGGTGGATTCTTGCCCCTCTAAGAACCATGCCCAGAGAGGAACATGCCAAAGAAAGACACAAGATCAGATGTATAGCAACAGATAGAGTTCACCAAATCACTGTGCTGGTAATCAGATTCTCCCACTCTTGCCCCGGCTGAGGGATTAAAGGAACAGAGGAAAATATGGTTTCATGAAGGAATGTTTTGCTGTGGCTTAGATCAGTCAGTCGCCTCACACATGTGAACAATTGTTCTCACATAGGAAGATAGAGGGAGATAGAAGAGGAAGGAAGTCAAGTATGGAAAAGAGAGAAGCAGCTTGGCTGCCGCCTGCGTTTCTCTTTAAAGTCTTCTGATGCTCGGCAGCTTTGTTGTGTCTAGGAAAACTGCTATACACACCATCAACCAAGTGACAGGTCTTTATATTTTTAATTCATCACAGAAGCCCTGATGCCCAAATGATGCCTGACAGAAAAAAAAATCTCTGGTTGGTAAGGGCCTTTTCTCAAGCCAAGGAAAACCTCAGAATTCCTTAGTGTTCCCCTGGGTTCTTATAGCACATTCAGTTTTCTTTAACTCTATAAACTCCTGTGGCTCCTGTCACATATCGACTTTACAGAGAGGAGACACTGGCTTCTGTGACAGTCAGAGCCTGGATTCTGGAGTCAGACCGCCTGGGTTCAAGTCACTGCTTCCCCACTTACTCGATCCAGATGATCTAGGACAAGTCACACTTTGTGCCTCGTTTCCTCATCAGTAAATAGGCAATAGCATCTCTTTATACAGTTGTGGCAAGTATTAAATGAAGAGAGAGAGAGAAAGAAAGAGAGAGAGAGAGAGAGAGAGAGAGAGAGAGAGCGAGAGCGCTTAGAGCAGTGCCTGACACATAGTAAGCCCTATTTAATTTGGATAATATCATTACATAGACAAAACCCCATTTCACTATGAGTCTTCCTCGACTCTTTGTCATTGTATGTAGATGTGTGTGTTTTTTCTATTTCTATGTGGCCCTCAATTATTCTTTTCATTTAATACATCTCATCGTAACTATTTGTGGGCCAAATGTTGTTAATAGGCTTAAACCAGTTTGATAGTACACGACTGTCAGTGTCTTGGGGCCTCTGCCAATTTGTGTCCTTAGAGCCTGGGCCTCTTCAAGTGCAAACACAGATTAGCACATAAGCATGAGTCAGGCCAGTCATCCATGACTTCCAGGCTCCCAACTAGAACCTTCGTGAAATGTTCACGTGAGCTGGACACCATGCTTTCCAGCCAAGCTCCCCACTGAACCAGGTTACAGAATCCTGCAGTGAGTGGAGGGCACAGGACTAAACCAACACCCAGGCCTAGAGCACTGTTCTGGGCTCCCCCAACTGTGTGGTACCCATTCCTCAAAAAAACACATGTTTCACCAATAAGAAGTTATTTCTAACACCTTGTATGCCAAAAAATAAACCCTCTTGTTGAGCTGCAGAAACAAGTGGCTGATGGAGCTGTAGGAGGCACAGATTCCAAGTCCAAGGTCCCAATTAGGCCCCTTCAGTTCTCATCAACCAGCCCCTGGAGTGTGTACTTCCCATTAGAGCTTCAGAGTTGATTAACAACTCCTAGGATGAATGTTAAAGCTAACGTCTAAAGCACACACATATATCTTGCTCTCTAAGCTGAAGTATTTAAGTTACGACAATAATCACCCAAGGTGGGTGGAATCCTCAGCCCGTAACTTGATGTTGTTTAGGTGACAGCCTCCTATTGGCTCCAGTTTGTGGAGATATTCATAGATTCCTCATCAAAAATGAATAATTAAAATAGCATCAACTGATAAAATGCTTCCTCTGCAAGGAAGCTCTTGATTTTACAGCCGCCATAAAAGGTGATTTCAGACGTGGGTGGGTTGGAAGTGCTTCTGCAAGTGACTCGGCACATCAGAGCGCTTTAACGCCAGGGTGATCGGGGGAGACAGTCCTCAGAGAAATAGATTTTTGTTGGGGCAAGTGGAAATTCGGAACCTAATTATCAATGTATGTACACAAATCTTTTTCACTTTCGCTGTCTGTAGAGAATAACTTTGGTTTATGGTATTACAGCCGTGCCGCAGACACGGTAGGACAGAGTTCACTGGTGTGTTTATTTAGAACACACGTCATCCCCTTGTTTTTGAAATTAAATGCAAAGTAGGTCACAGTAGGCAAAACATTAAAAGGAAATATAGACATTTATTTTTAGTGTCCTTGATGGTACATAAGTGTGGCTCCAGTTAATTGCACACAGGGCAGCAAGATAAAGGAGAGGAGGCAGAAAGAAAGATGAAGACAGGCAATTGCCAAAGATGGGCTTTGTCTAGTTTGAAACCTGAACTGAAGTTTTTTTGGGTTTTTGTTGTGCTGTTAGGGGAAATGAAGGAACCCTATGATTATTGAGGTGTAGCAGTTCACTGGGGTATAAGCATGAAATTGCTTAACTGCTCCCAGCCTCCAAGGGTGAAAACCCTGGTCATTGGGCTCCCTTAATATCTTTTTTTAAAAAATATATTTTTATTAATTTCAGAGAAGAAGAGAGAAGGAGAGTTAGAAACATCAATGATGAGAGAGAATCATTGATCCACTGCCTCTTGCACGCCCCACGTAGTGGGTCAAGCCCACAACCCGGGCAACCTGATGGGAAATCGAACCATGACCTCCTGGTTCATAGGTCAACGCTCAACCACTGAGCCACATGGGCTCCCTTAATATCTTAATGATGTCTCCATCCAGTTCCATAACTTTCCAATCCCATAATGCTCAGTCCTATTTTTAAATTTCAATCACAAAAACAAAACAACACTGAACTTTGATGTCTATCTGGTGGGAGTGTGAGATGCGTCTGCTCTCTCATGCCCATCTTCTCCCTGCTTCCCAGGGAGGACTACCCTAGGTTTGGAGGATGGAATGAGAAAGAGCATCTCCTTACTTGACTCCTGCAGATAGGGGGGCAGTGGGTGCTGCCACCAAAGTTGCTGCCGCCTCTCTAACACCATGACTCTGGGTCATATGTCCTGAGGCACACAGTCTCTTGCCTCTGGCTCAGGCTCAAGCTCAGTCTCTTCTCTCTCTCAGCCCAGGCCTCCCCCAACTCAAGTGGTCCGCTTGTCCAACACCCTGCTGGGTGTGGTATCAGCAAGATCTAGCTCAGCCACTGCTCCCGGCCACTGACAGGAAATTCTGTCCTTGCAGTGGGAATGGAGCCTGGAGCCTCATTAAGAGTGAGTCAGAGCACTTTGTAGGAGACCAGGGGAACAACAGAAAACAATCCGTCATTAACTCAAAAGGAATTCACCATTCCTGGAAGTAAAGCTGTTGCAGGCTGAGGCTGGGAGTAGACAGAGCAAGCTTCCGATTCATCTCCTAATTCCAAACATTAATTTAATGCCCAGTGCACAAATGGAGAATACAACAGATGCTTTCACTGGTAAGGAGATACCCCATTTGAGTTTAGCCAACAGGCAAAGAAGGGATCATGATCCCACTTCTGCCACACAGCTTCGCTTTCACACTTGATGTGGAGACTGACACCCACCCTGCACCCACCTCTCCAGTGCTCACAATCTCTCCCTGATACTGCCCTGGCCTGAGGTCATATTCCTGAGGAAACCTATTTCTCACTGGAAGTAATCAGTTTTGATGCATTCTTTTTTGTTAATCCTCATTAGAGGATATTTTCCCATTGATTTTTAAGGAGAGTGCAAGAGAGAGGGAAAGACAGAGAGAAACATCAATGTGAGAGAAACACATAGATTTGTTGCCTCCTGCATGAGCCCTGACCAGGGCCCAAGCTGAGTCCTGACCAGGAGCCTGTAACCAAGGTACATGCCCTTGACCGGAACCAAACCTGGGACCCTTTGGTCCATAGGCCAATGCTCTATCCACTGAGCCAAACAGGCTAGGGCTTGATGCATTCTTTTTGAGGCCTGACCCAAACACCTCTTTTGTGTACTCATGCTTATTCAACTTAATCTGTCAGCTCCTTTCTCCCAGCTCCCATATTTTCTGTACCCTTTTGGGAGTCAGAAAAAACTCTAGGACTCATGTCAGCATACTATTTAAAAAAAAATATTTTCAAATCTAAGCAAAAGTGGAAAGAATAGTATGATAACCTGGCATCTATTCATCACCCAACTCAATAATTATCAACTCATGACCAATTTTTATCCTCACCTAGTCTCCCCCCTGGACTATGTATCTAAAATATTTGAACTCTTTTTGTTGTTTTAAACATAACTGCGATATCATTAACACACCTAAAATAAAGAACAATTCTTAATTATTATTAAATATCCAGTCTGTATTCAGATTTCTACAATGGCTTCATAAATTGGGATCCTAACAAGATTTATCTGTTGTATTTGATTGGAACATTTCTTGCATGAATCCGATTACACTAGGTTATACTGTAGCAGCAGACAACTCGAAAATCACAGTGGCTTACAACAGCTGGGATTTAATTTCTGCTCATGTGAATTTCCATTGTGATTCAGCCCCACAGCCTCTTCACTCCTGGCCATGGACTGAAGCAACAGTCCCTGTTTGGGATGCACCCACTTCCTGGCAGATGGTAATAAGGAATGGTTGAAAAGTACAATGACTTTTAAAACTTCTGCTCAGAAGTAGCAATCATCACATATGCTTACATTTAATTGGTCAAAGCAAATCACATGGCTAAAGCTGATGTTAGTGGGGAAAAGGGAAGTATAATTTTCCCACAGGAGAGGAGAGCAAATATTGGGAATCTATCCTACCTTTTGATCTATAGGTTCTTCACCTCATCTTCACCCATCGTCCCCAATTTTGTTGAAAAAATTGGGTAATTTGAGCTGTAGAATTGTCTGTATTCTGAATTTTGCTAATTGCATCCCTGTGGTGCACTTATTTAACATGTTCCTCTGTCACCTCTACTTCTTCTAAACCTGTAGTTAAATATAGAGGCATTATCAGATTCAGGTTCAAATTTTTGGCAAGGATACTTCCTAGGTGGTCATATTATTTTAGCTATCTTCTGCTCTATAACAAATTATCCCAAACCGTGGTGGCTTAAAACAATAGTAATCGTGTATTATCTTATGGTGTCTCTGGGCCAGGAATTCAGACAGGGCACAGAGGGATGGTTTGTCTGTACTTTATGATTTCTGGGGTCTTAGAAGGAAAACCTAGAGGCTGGAGAACTGAAATCATCTGAAGGCTTGACTGAAGCTGAAGGTTCCTTGGTTAGCAAGTTGGTGTTGGTAAGTTGCTTCTTTTCTAAGTAGGCCTGTCCACAGGACTGCTTGAGCATCCTCACACCATGGTGGCTGACTTCCCCCAGAGTGATTGATCCAAAAGACCAGTGTTGGAGTAGCAATATCTGTATGACCTAGCTTGTGAACTCAGACATTGACACTTCTATTGGTCACAAAATCAGCCTTTATTCAGTGTGGGAAGTCTCCACAAAGGCCTAAATACCAAGAGAGGAGTTTCATTGGGGGCCATCTTGGAGGCTGGCTACCATATTATCAAGTAGCTTTTGAAGTTAAAAAAGGCAAATAGAGATTATCTATACCATGTAGTGTGGGATAATAGTTGTCAGCATTTGAGATGTCATAGTCCAGTAAAATTTCAGTGGGAAAAAAATAAGAACTAACTGGAACTACTAGATCTTTATTTTGTCATGCAAAGTCATTTTTTTAAAAAGCCACCTGTTGCCCTAGCCAGTTTGATTGGATAGAGCATCAGCCTGCGGACTGAAGGGTCCTGGGTTTGATTCTGGTCAAGGGCACATGCTCAGGTTGCAGGCTTGATCCCCAGTAGGGAGTGTGCAGAAGGCAGCCGATCAATGATTCTCTCATCATTGATGTTTCTATATCTCTCTCCCTCTCCCTTCCTCTCTGAAATCATACATTTTTAAATGTAAATATACATTTTTAAAAACCACCTGTTAATTCCACTACTATAATTGTTTCACTTCTTTTTTTATTTTTTGAGAGAGAAACATCAATTGGCTGCCTCTCATATGTTCCCCAACCAGGGATCAAACCCGAAACCTAGATATGTGTCCTGACTTGGAATTGAACCACCAATCTTTTGGTAATGGAACAACACTCCAACCAACCTAAGAACAACCTGTTAATTCTACTATCATTACTTCTTCTTCTTCTTTTTTTAAAGACCTTTTTCATTCAGATTACATGATCTTCGAATGAAGACATCATTCTAGATGTGGAGCAATGAGAACTCTCCTAAACTGCTGGTGGGGATGTACATTGGGAATCCACTTGGAAAACATTCTGTAGTCAAGTTGAGGAGTCACATGTTCTATCACCCAACAATTCCACTCCTAGGTATGCACCCTAAAGAAATGTGTACACACACACCAGGAATCATGTCCATAGCAGCATGTTAGTAGTAGCCCTGAACTGGAAACAAACCAAATGCCCGTTAATAGTAGAATAGACCGACAAATTGATGCCTATTCATACTGTATGATTCCATATAGATAAAGTCCCCAAACAAGCAATGCTAATGTATAGTGTTTGGGGATTTATGCTTGGATGAAAAACTTTCTTTAAAAAAAAGAGCAAGAATGTGATTATTATAAAGGTCTGGTGTGGTTACCTTTGGAGAGAGGGAGGTTTTCTGACAATAAAGAGACACAAGGTGGAGATGGTTGGGATGATGGCAATGTTTCATTTATTGACCTTAACGGTAGTTACACAGATATTGCTTGAAAACTCATTAAGCTTCACATTTTATGTTTTTTTTTCCTACCTGTTCGCTATGTTTTACCATAAAAAGGAATTTTTGAAAAGGAAAAAAAAATTAGTCCTTTTAATAAAAAATTTTAGCTTTAGGGAAACTTAAAAAAAAAAAAGGCCATCTGTTGTTTTTCAGCTCCATCATCCCTCTCCCACCCCTTTCTCTATACGGGGTGTCAGCAGGATCTCTGGTAGTTCCAGCACTGGCAGCTTTACACTTAGACTCTCGCATGCCCCTGACTCAGTGGAGCAGGAGGGGATGTGGCACACACAAATGCTCCCCTCCCCACCCCCCCACCCCGCAACACACACACACACACTCACTCTCATGGGGCTTCCCTCTTTGTGCTTCAGGAGGAAGAACCTTTGTTCCTCTGCCCAGGTTGGTCAGAAGATAGAATAGTCTCTCTCTGACAAGAGGTCCCCCCACTTCTTGCTCCCAGGCAAGAATGACAGTAAAGTTGATGACTCTTCTGAAAGGCACTGTCAGGAGGCCCTGCTGGCAGCCCCAGCTCCTGGCAGTGCCCGGGACTGAGGCTGTGGTGCTTACTGTGGCAGCTCTCAGTGCTGGGCCTGAATCGCCCGTTTTGAGCACTTTACCCATCCTGTTCTACCATTGCTGATGGCACAGCTATTCTACGCCAGGAATTGCGCTATTGTTTTACATCGTGGAATGCTTTCTAATTTACAACGTTTTATTTCATTTTCCTAACAAGCCTATGAAATTGAAGATATCTAATTATTTCCACTTTTTATAGAGGCCAATGAAGCTCCTGAGGTTTGAGTGTCTAAAGTCACGGTGAAGGGCTACCCATCCCTCTGAAAACTTGCCATACCCACAGCCTTTCGGCAGAAAAGTACCTCCTGGTGTTTCCTCAGACAGGTTTGCTTGATGGTGTCTCCTGACCCATCACCCACAGCTGGTTTGTCAGAGTGGTCATCTAACCCCAGGGCAGCCAAGTGACAGAGCAAAGATATATATGGGGTGGCTTGGAGAACATACCTGCCTAAACAGGAATGATAGTGATTAGGTATATGATTTAATTATCTTGGGAACATTGTGTGAAAAATACCAGGAAACTGTCCTTATAACAGGAAAAGCTAAAAGACACCAGAGATGAGAAAGTTGTACAAAGATACCCTAAGGCAGTCCGGGTCACCCATAAACAGGGAGTAAGAGTAAGGTAACTGTGAACAGAAGACACATCTCTGATATAAATAGAAGGTGAGTTATCTAAATGGCATTGGCAGGAGCACTGAAAGCAAAGACCCAGAGACAAAGGTCCCATAATGACAGTGAAGCAACACTCCTGGCTTAGTCCAGCCTCTGCAGTTCAGTTCCTTCTCCCTCTTCCCCTCCCGCTCCCCCTCTCCTTCTCTCCTCCCTTCCCCTCCCCCTCTCCCTCCTCCTCCTCCTCCTCCTCCTCCTCGCCTAAATTTGAGCAGATGACCAGGTTATAAAAATATTGATCAAGAAAGACTAATATTGATCAAGAAAGACTGAGCCTACAGACAATGAATATTATATCTTATCTGATGACAAGCACTGACAGAAAAGTGGTAGAGAGAAAATAAAGAAATGAGATAATCAATCTAGGAAGTTTGTCATCTGATTAACAGGCCAGAGAGATTAAAAAAAAAACAAAAAGAAAAAAAAATGAAAGGAAGAAATTATCAGAGAAATCATAGAAGAAAAGTCCTAACAACTAGCTGATGTGACTCTTCATAGGG